CCAGCCATGACTTTTTCAGTCTTAAGCTTCCTCACAAACCATTCACATTTCCTTGATATGTTTGTTTTGCAGTTTGGTCCTCATTTATTCTCTCCTTGTGACCAAACCACCTCAATATCTTTCATTTGTACTGGTCACTAACTTCTGTATTCAGCCCATATTCATTCATCACCCATAATTTCCTGATCTTTCTATCTTTCTATCCATCCTCTTTTTTTTTTTTTTTTGTGGCAATCATTCTCTTAAAAGCATTTTTTCCCCTCATCAGCAACCTCTTCATCATTCCATGTAAGTTCATTCTTTTTCATATTTTCCATTAATACAAGTCCACACAGGTGTGTGGTACTCTATAATATAATCCTTTTCTCTCTTTTCTAGGCAATGTTCACATCCTCTTTACTTACATCCACTTTTTATTCATTTGGTTGGGAGATTAATCTGTTTTTAATTTTTCTTTTCATAATGACTTATACTTCCTTGCAGTTCTACTCTCATTCTGGTTTCGTTTTCTTCCATGTCCATTTTCCAAAAATCCATTCTTGACATTATCAAATAATGGTCTGTCCCACATTCAGAACGTTTTATCATATTTATGTTCTTTACTAATTCTCTTACCTTTCAATCAGTTACCCTGTTAGATTCATTTTTGCACCATATGTACACATGAACAGTCTTGTGAACAAACTACTTAACAGACTTTTTCTAAGCAGATTCTCACCAAGCTGTCACTCTTTTCATTCATTCTTGGGTCTTTGAATGGTCATCACTTTTGTTGTATTTTCTCATTTCATTCCAATTTCTTCTATTCATGTTTATTCATGTCTCCAAATACAATACTTTTCCTGTATGATTGCATTCATTGAGAATCAGTTTGGTATTGTAGTTAAGATGCTGGACTATGACTGGGAAGAGCTAGAGTCCACCCTCAGCTATGGAAGCTCACTGACTTTCTCTCAGCCCAAGCTACCTCACAGCCTTGTCAGGGGAAAAACTTTTATATGCTGTCTTAAGCATCTAGAGGAAAGGTAGGAGGTGAATATAATAAAAAATGCTGTAGTTTTTCTTCAAACTCATTCCTTATTCTTTGTCACCCTTCACTGAGTGGAACATGCAAGTATCAGCAAGCTTCAAATTCCTATTTTCATATATACTCATAACAACCTTGATGTCACCAAATCATAGTTCCTGACACATAGTTTAGCCCTTTCATTCATACTTAAACCTACACCTTAACTTCCCTGCATGTATTCATCAACTCTGCTTTATAAGATGAGACCATCTTCATTAGATGCAGGCTAGGATGTCTAATCTAGAGACTACCTTGCAAACCAGCATACTCTTGTCCACATCTGTTCTACTAAGGAGGTATATGTGGTGTACTGACAGTTAAAGCTGATGTTTTCAAAAAGCATGTAGATGTTAATTTCCCATTGTCCAATACAATTTACAGTAAATATTGCTAATGGCATCCTCTTATATGGAAGTATTTGGCTGCCAGCTTTTACAAAATCAGGTTTAAGCTAAGCAGATGCAATCCAAAGACAAAAACTAAGCGGATGCAATCATTTTATAGCAGAGCACATAGCCCCTCCCTTTTTAGACCCTTGCTGAGTCAGTCCATGGGACTGTCCAGTTTCATCATTTTGTCTTGCAGAAAGGTCAGTCATATATGGATGCTCACAAATAAAATATGAGAGCAGCCGATCTCATATCTAGCATTAGATTTTATTTATTTATTTTATTTATATAATTTATTCAGCTGCCCATCTCACACAAGTGACTCTGGGTGGTTTACAAGATTAGAACAAATAACCCCACCAAACAACCCCTAGTGCCCGAGGAAACCATCGATCCCACTCACCACCATCATCTTTCTTCCTGTTAGTTTTAAGGTATGCTGCCTTTGATCCTGGAGGTGGTATATAACCATCAAGACTATATAGACTAATAGGCACCGATAATCTGATTCTACATGAATTTGTCTAGTGCTCTTTTAACATGGGTGGCTATTGACAAATCCGATGACATTAAATGCTATAGTTTTAACTACAGAAGACATTCAGCTATATTAAACACCTGAATCACTCTACTCTATTCTAAATTAACAAAGCAATTCCCTGACGTGTTGTTCCAATGAAAACTGGCAGTTCAAGGATATAGCACATGTAGCTTAGCCTGTTTGAAAGGAACTTCTTAAACAATGAAGAAATACCAGGTATAGCACAGATTTTATTTATAAAATATGGATTTTCATTGGTAAATCATGCTTTCTGAGAAAACAACGCAATAAAATTAATTTGTATTTACTCTTCTTGATTTTTAGGACCGGATTTATGGTTTCAGGATGAAGTTGAGGCATTGCAGCCACATGTAGACAAACTTCTTACTTTGGGTGTCAACAAAATCATCGCACTTGGTCATTCTGGTTTTATTGTGGACAAAAACATTGCTCAGAAAGTTAAAGGTGTGGATGTTGTGGTTGGGGGACATACAAACACATTTCTTTATACAGGTATGTTATTCCTTCACAAAAAAAGAGGTTTTTTTTAATATAATTTAGCAATTATAGTGCTGATTATTTTAATTCCTCACGCCCTGATCCGTCTAAGGAAGTCAGCATGTATTTACAGGTTTCTGTGTAAATATTACTCGCTTGTATATGTCTGGACAAGTACAATGCTGAGTGAACTTAAGTTACTAGTAAATCTAGTATGAACCCCTCCTTCTCATTTGTTTGAGTAGTATAAAGAAAAGTCATGAGATCAGTAACTGCACATTTTATAAATTCAGTTTGGTGTGTTCTGTTTCTAACATCTATAGTTTGCTTTTGTAAGTTTGTTAGACATCAGAGCTTCAGTGTGGTCTCAGGAAGTTCACTGATTTTAGTTTGCTAAAGGAGAGCAAAATGCTGGACCTTGGTCTAGTGCCTTACACTAATATTCCTTGCTTAAATGAGCCATCTTTCTGTCTTCCCTTACTTTTTCTTGTATGCATTTCTTACCTTTGCTCTAGAATATATTTGCCAATATGAATTTTCTCTTTTGTCTTGTTTTTTTTCCTCCCCCCAACTTTTCACCCCTTATTAGATATGTTCCGTGAACATAGCAAACTTTCCTGTATCCAAAATGTTTAAAGTACTCTGAAAGGCTTATTTTTAAAACTATTGGAACTCTCCACAGCTTGAGTCATAATTATGTTCTAAGTATGATATTTTTCAGGAAGATTAAGTGAAAACAAGTCTTTTTTCAAAATGCTCTCTTCTAATATCCAGAGTGGATATGGTGGGCACACTCCAGGTCTCTTCCCTTAAGGTCCCTTCCCTGCCATCTTGAGGGTCCTCAGATGTGTGCCTTTTCAATTGCAGCCCCTGCCCTTTGGAATGCCCACCCCCGTGAGATCTGATAGGCCCGTAGCCTCTATCCCTCTGGAGAGCACTTAAGACCCTGCTCTTCCCCCAGGTGTGGGGTCAAGATCAGGGTGGGATGAGAATGTGGCTGCACTAGGGAAGAGTGGCTGGGCGCCAGGTTTTATATTGTTTTATTGGTTGTAAACCACCCAGAGTTGTTTTTAAGATGGGCAGCTATAAATTTTATATTACAGGGCAGCTATAAATGTTATATTACAGGCAGGTTCTGGCCAGTCAACCAGACATTGTGGTAGTAGACAAGGACCAGAAGACAGCAGTAGTGATAGATGTAGCAGTGCCAGGTGACTTTTATTGGTTGTAAACCACCCAGAGTTGTTTTTAAGATGGGCAGCTATAAATTTTATATTACAGGGCAGCTATAAATGTTATATTACAGGCAGGTTCTGGCCAGTCAACCAGACATTGTGGTAGTAGACAAGGACCAGAAGACAGCAGTAGTGATAGATGTAGCAGTGCCAGGTGACAAGAACACCAGTAAGAAGGAGTATGAGAAGCTGGAGAAGTACCAGGGCCTGAAGGAGGAATTAGAGAGGATGTGGAAAGTCAAGGCCAAAGTGTTCCCAGTGGTGGTAGGAGCACTCGGGGCTGTGACTCCTAAACTGGGAGATCCTAGGAACAACATCAGAGCTGTCTGTCCAGAAGAGTGCAGTGCCAGGAACAGCTAAGATACTGCGCAGAACTCCCAAGCCTCTGGCAGAGTTGCCAAGACTGTGGAAGACACATACCACCCACAGGGGTGAGAGGGGATTTTTTTTGTTTTTGTTTTTAATGTGTGTATACACACAGACACGTACATACATACACTAATGTCTTACTTTATGATATAAATGTATGCAGCTTGTTTTTTGTAAATTTGGTCTGTAAATTAGTAACTTCCTTGTGGGTTTACTTGGCTCTCTCCACTTTTGGAATCAAGCCTGTACTATGGTTTCCCAATTTGAAACATATTCCTTTATTGTCAGAAATGGCTGAGTTTGCCAGAAAACCTAACTATACCAAAACGTCCATTTATCTTTTGTCACAGAGACCAGTGTCCGTTAATCCATGCAACTACATCTCACTATACTCCAGAACCTATTTTAATCATCTGAATTGTGGTTTCTTTTTTTGAAAGACACATGATAGCTGAGTAGCAGCATTATTTACTTTCTTGAGTTTTCTGGTGTTATTAGTAAAAGCCTTTGGGAGCTGTCCAGGAGTGTAGTTTTCTGGCAAATAGGAACGTCTGTTTCAGCATTCAGAAAGAACTATTCATGGCAGTAAGCAGTTGGCTGACTGACTAGTGAGGGAATATAAAATGTAGTGAGAGGTTTTTCCAGGACACTCAGCAGTGTTTGGTAACTCTTTCAGGTTGGGTAAATATTTCAGGTTGAAATATTTCTTGATTTAATTTTCAGTCTGAAAACTAACCTAGCACCTTTAGAAAATACAATAAAACAATTGGTGTCCACTTAAAGGGAGGTTTGGTGTCACTGCATAAGGCATGCTAAATAATAATAGTGGTAGTGGTAGTAGTAATAGTAATAATGCAGTGATATCTTTTAACACCATCAAACAACAACATCTGCCTATCTAGGCCCTTGGGAAGGACTCAATAGGTGGATAAAAATGCCAAATCCAGTCTAAACATCTGGCTGACTGTGCAAACAACAATAATAATATGATCTCTTTTCTTTTGGAATATGTTTTGCAAGTCCAGCATTTTTTCATTTTTTAAAAAAAATCTAATTTCCTCCACGCGTCAGTCTTTCAAAGCCAGGATCCAAAAGACAACACTAGATATTCTGTTTCTGCATCAAGGTTTTTCAGTCTTGATTTCCTGCAGCTACTCTTTTATTTCCAAGGATCCAGAGTGTAATGTGGAGTGTGATATGATTCAGGAGGACTATGTTTTATTTTTGTCCCGCCTTTGTACACAGAGTTTCCAAAGTGTCTTAAAAGCATCAGAATAAAAATGGATAAAGCCTAGGGTGGTGCAGTACTCTGGATTTGAGAGGAAAAGGGAAGAGGTAACTAAGAGCATGTGTGGGCACAGATCTGGCACATGTTGGTATGTCCGTAAATCAGGCACGTCTTTCTCCAGGATCCTGTGGCAATCATGGAGTTGCTTAAAGGATTTACTGGCAGGAACTATTTAAACACTGCTGCACACTCCAAACCATTTTTCCTCCTAATAAATAAACTATTCAGTCTTAGTTCCAGTCAAAAACTAAGATTACTAATAGAAATTATGTCTTTATATGAAGAGATGGGGAGCTAAGAAGGAGTTGCAATGTCAGGAAACAAAAGATGGATACACCAAAACAGCAGGAAGAGGGACTAATTTATTCACACCTGCCCTTTAAAGCTCTCACGGACAGGGCTTTAAAGCAAATGCAGTCTCCTTTGATTCTTCCACATTCAATATAATCAAATTATATTGTCCAACAAAAGCAGTGTTTCTCAACCTTGGCAACTCTAAGGTATGTGGATTTCAGCTTCCAGAATTCCTCAGCCAGGCTGAGAAACACTGAACAAAAGTGATCGGCTGCCTGACAGTAGCAGTTTATGGCTTATATCCTCAATAGGCAAGTCTGGAATGCCAGCCTCAGCTAAGGAAGCTGACTCAGTCCTTATTCTTTCCCAAAAGTGATCTCCTTTGTTTCCCAGCTGGCCCGCCTCCAGGGAATGGCTCAGCTCTCCATCAGTAGAAGATGGTCAGGCCTCTTTGAAAGGTTAGCCTTCAACCAGTCTTCCACTTTCACTTTCTCTCAGTCCTCAGCTTGGGCTTTCTCCTTACCGGACAAATGGCAGTATTAGTACAATATGATGTCATTTGTTTTTTAAAAAATGAATAACTAGACCTGGGTGAATTTTCAAAGGGGTTCTTCACTTCAGTTGAACCTTTCATGTGAAGCAATACTGTGCCAGAATTTAATCTGCTCATCCAGTCTGATCATTCAGAGAGAGTTTGTTGCGGGGGGGGGGGGGGG